ACATATTCTATATTTCTACACTAAATCCACCAGATGCTCTGCAGGAGAAAGAAGGCAAACAATTTCTGTGAGATTTGGCACACAACCTTCTGGAGTAAGGAAACACTGCATGGATGAAAATCAGGAAGGGTGTATGCCAGGGATGTGTCCTATCTCCATACCTTTTCAATCTATAAGCAGAACAGATCATTCAGAAGGCAGGGTTCTATGAAGAGGAATGTGGCATCAGGATTGGAGGAAGTCTTATCAACAACCTGCATTAGGCAGATGACACAACCCTGCTTGCTGAAACTGAGGAGGACCTGAAGCACTTGCTGCAAAAGGTCAAGGACGACAACCTTCAATATGGATTGAAGCTCAACATCAAGAAAACAAAGATTTTCAACACTAGGCCATCTGGCAGCATCAAGGTAAATGGTGAAGAGATTGATATTGTTAACAGTTTTAGTTTGCTGGACTCCACAATCAACACTCTTTGTACCAGCAGCCAGTAAATCAAGACATGAATTGCATTGGGAAAGTCTGCTGTCAGGGACATATCCAGAGTACTGAAGAATAATGGTATCACTCAGGAGACTAAGGTGCACCTAATCCAGGCCATGGTCTTCGTAATCAGTTGCTATGCATCAGAGAGCTGGACAATGACTAGGGTTGATAGGAGAATTGATGCCTCTGAGCTGCGGTGTTGGAAAAGAGTACTGAATACGCCATGGACTTCTAGGAGGACAAACAAGTTCATCCTGGAGAGGGTGAAACCAGGCTGTTCCTTGGAGGCAAGGATTCTGAAGCTTTGTCTGACATACTTTGGATGTGTTGCAAGGAGGGACCAGTCTTTAGAGAGAGTCATCATGCTTGGGAGGATGAAGGGACAGAGCAAGAGAGGAAGACCTCCAATGAAATGGATTGACTGAGTGACTAGGGCAGTAGTGGTAGGTGTGTCAGAGAAGATAAGTTTGGCTCAGGATAGAACAGGTTTCAGAGCTGTTGTACATAGGGTCACTATGAGTCACAAGTGACTCAATGGCTCATAACAACAACAAACAACCTCACAGAGGGGCAACAGTTCCATCAACAACATTCACAATACACAACCAACTCCCATAAAGTCTCCACACTACCGCAACTCTTGTTATTGTTAAGTGCCGTCAAGTCACAGGCGACTCATAGCGACTCATCCTCAACACTTGTGTGTCTTTCATCCTCTCTCCAGGTTCATAGGGTTTCTGGAGACAAGCTGTTATGGAAGTGGAAGCCACTCCTGCTTCCAAGCTTATTTTAATCGGGTAGTTTCACCCAAAACTGTCCACCATGGCCAACCATTAACTCATTTGACACATCCGCATCACAGTGTTCAGCCTCACAGCAACCACAAGTTACCACTGTATGGCAATTGGACACACCAGGGCTATACGACCTAGAGGAATGTTTGAACAGAAACAATGAAAGACAGGCCAGAGGGCCACAGATTAAAAGTCACCCACCTTTGGCTTGGTTGCATCGCTTTCAGTCCACTGGGCCAGCTGATCACTCTCTATGTTGATGTTAGTGTTGTTAAGTGCCGTCGAGTCCCAGACAACTCATAGCAACCCTATGAAGGAGTATGTCTCTCATCCTCTCTCCAGGTTCATAGGGTTTCTGGAAGCAAGTTATTGTGGAAGTGGATGCCACAACTACTTCTTATTGTACTGCTCTACTTCTAGGCAAGAAATCTATTGCAATGGTTACACAGATCTCACACAACCATTTTCACTATTATGGGTTTATTAGGGAAGTTAACAGCCCACAATATAGGTTGGCAGCAGGATACAATTCCTCAATTTGGACATATTTCTCAGGTGTGCCTTGCAGACTCTTTGACCTTCAGCTTCAGGCTTAGGTTAGTTATAAAGCTCTCATAGTCTTGTGACTGATGACAATCCTTTCCTCAGTCCCCCTTTCTCCCACAGTCCTCCAACAAGCTTGGGTGAAGGACTCTGGTTCTAGCTTCATGGGGCAGAATATTCAAGTCAGCTCTGTCTCATGTGGTTCTCTGCTGAGGCTACTGCTGTTTTCATATAAGTCTCAGTCTGATTGGCATAGGAATGTTTGGCCCCAAAGGACACATGTTGCATTTGTGGTTCCTTCTTCATTGTTAGTAGTGAGATTCCCATATTCTGCTACTAAACTTACTCAGTTCAAACCTTGTGGAATAGGAAAACTGACCAGTTCACTATGCGTACACAGCCTATATCATGTTCACACCGAGCCATGTGGTGAAAGTAAAAAAATCAAAGTCTAGGAAAGTAATTTTGAACATTAAAGTCATTATACCAAAAAGTATTAAAGAATCTTTTTTATGTACAATGTTTCCAACCTCTCAAGACCAATAAAGGTCAGATTTATGAAGATACTAATAATAAAAAGTAGTAATAAAACAGAAAAAAGTAGATATTCAACTTAGGTTAGAGCCAGCTTTCTTACAGTTGTCGAACTTTTGTCATAAATTGGGAATAGATCCTAAGTTTTAAAGGAGACTCATTCCTAATTATGTCCTTGAGAATTTGTAGGTAAGTTGGAAGTAAAACAAAATATACACTTATTTAACTTTAGTGCAAAAAAAAAAGAAGCCCTTGTGCCATAGCAAATTGAATATTGAACTGCTAATGGTAAGACTGGTGGTTGAAATTTGCCAGTTGCTATATAGGACTCCTGTATATATTTACGCTTGGAAATTTTATGGGGCAGTTCTATTCAGTTCTGTAGAGTTACTATGAGTTAGAATCAATTCAATTGTAATATTTGTTTTAGAACAAGAAAAGGTTCCAGGCCTTTTTTAATGATTTAAAATCTGTGCCACAAAGGAAGGTTGGTGTGATGAAGGTTTTGTTGTAAGTACAGACTTGCTCAATCATTAAAATGAGGGCAAATTTATATATTACCAAAAGGTAAATACAAGTTGTCAGTATATTGGATATTTTTAACCCAGGGACTGCCTGCTTGCCTAACATGTCACCAAGTCAAAATGTAGTCAATATTAAGTTCATAGGGCCTCTGTGAGTCATAGCTGACTCAATGGCACAAAACAACACATACGAAGATATATAGAGATAGAGATAGAGATTGAGAGAGATATGCTTTTATGTGCTGTTGAGTCAATGCAACTAATAGTGACCCTATGAACAACAGCCCTAAACCCTTCTCTATCCCGTGCCAGTCTTATTGTCTCTGATACACCTACTCCCATCACCCCAGTTACTGAGTCAATCCATCTCATCAAGGGTCTTCCTCTCTTGCACTGTCCCTCCACTCTCCCAAGTGTGATGTCCCTCTCCAAGGACTGATTCCCTCCTTGCAACATGTTCAAAGTATGTCAGACAAAGCTTAAGAATCCATGCCTCCAAAGAGCAGCCTGGCTTCATCTTCTCCAGATTGTAGTTAAGTGCCGTCTGTCATAAAACACTCATAGCAACCTACGAATGAAAGACCTGAACACTTGTAGAACTTTGATCATTTCTCTACATTTCCAGACACAAGTTATTTCAGGAGTGGATGCCACTCCTGCTTTGCTGTTGTTTTTGTTGTGTACCATAGAGTAGGAACTGACTCATAGTTGACCCTCTGCTCTCTGGTCGATTTTCAGAGGCAGTTAATCCCACAGGAGATTGCCCATCCTTCTCCCATGGAGCAGCTGGTGTCCGTGAACCGCGTGCCTTTGGGATTGCAGTGCAGATTCTTGCCACTAGGTCACCAGTATGATATGATAAACAAGTAAAGCATATAAATGGGTATACAGATGTTCACTATACTATTCTTTCCATTTTTCCGTATGATTGAAAATTTTCTTAATAAAACATTAGAGGGGTAAGTCTATTAGAGAAAATACCTGTTGTTTTGTTTTTTGTTTTTTTAGAAAATACCTGTTTACAGTTAAAAAAACATTATGGTTTTAATTATCACTTTTAAGAACCATGACCAAAAGATACCAAGTGAAATTGACACTAAAAAATCTAGCCAGTAATTCCTCTTCTTGGGTTTTCTTCTCTTACGTGAAAAATAAAGTGGCACTTTAGATAAACTATAGTATTGTTTTAAACAATGTATTTTTCACAACATTTTAAATGTATAGCAACAATGTGTTTAAGTACAGTGCATTGGTATATTCAAGGGAGGGATTGCTCATAACCATCACTATTTGCAAAAAACAATTCTCAAATTATATATATTAACTATGAAATTTATGGATTCATGCAAACAGAAATAGAGGTTAATACAGAATATGCTGTTTGAAAAGGATTTTTATTTAGACTTCTGCTAACAATTTTGTGTAATAATGCATTTTTTAAAAAATATTTTACCTTAAATTTTATGCCGAAAGTTGAAAAACTAAGCCTTTACACGGTTCACCTAATTTATAGTAATTTACTAACATTCACAGAATTGTTTTACTAACTACAAATATACACATTATACGTAAAATATATCCAAATGTCTTAAGTATATATACCGTAATGTGTGGGTTAAAAGCATATAGATATAATGGCAGAACTACTACTACCTGTCATATAGTACTGGCATGCCAAATCAGCCTTTTCTCGGCGAAAGGCTTCTGGTTCTGGGCTATCTTTATTTTTCTCTGAAGAAGGTGGTTCCAGCGTTCCAGGCAAGGGAGGAGATTGTCTCCTCGCCTGGGAGGCTGGAAACTGTTCTTATAAGTGCAAGGTTTCCACGAAATCAATAGGACAGGCTTAAGCTCAGTCGATTCTCCAGTTGCTAGGTTAAGTTGCTATGGCACCAACCGTCTCTCCGGAAGAGAGCATGATGCGCTCCCTTTTGACGTTGTAGTGATTCTTCTCCAAAGCGAGCACTTTGGTTCCGGGAGGAAACATTCAGCTCTACTAAGAACGACGGGAAAGCAAGAAGCTGGGAGTGACGCCTCCGCGCCGCAGAGGATTGTGGGAGGAGGTTGTCTCCAATTTCTCCTCCCCACTCCCCCCCTCCCGGCCAAGATGTCTGACATGGAGGATGATTTCATGTGCGATGATGAGGAGGACTACGATTTGGTGAGGCGAAGGGAATGGAACTCTGGGACAAGAGGTCATGTTTGATTTTCCAGGCGAGAGCAGGAGGCGGCCGTGGCCTCCTTCCGTAGAGGAAATTCTCCTTCTAGCCCCTCCCGGTGCAGTGACAGGACGGGTTTACCTCCTCCCCCTTTCCGCACGGGGCCCGAGCCCTGCTTATCCAGCATGGGGGAGGGGGAGAGGGAGGGAGCCCGCGTAGGTGGTCCGGGACGTTGCGCTCAAAGACCACAAGTCTTCCCGGTTTACATGGACACCCAGGCCCCCTGTGTCCGGTTCTTCGTGCCCCTACCATCCTTGACCCCTTACCAACTACCCCGGGAACCGTGCAGCGGTCTAAGCCCCGGCGTTGCCTTTTTCGAATCCAAACATTCTGGGTCCCTCTTCACACGTGAACTAAACGATTGCAAGAAGCAGTGAATATTGAACGACCCTTACTGCTCCTAGGCCTGATTCGTAACACACTTCCTAGAGAGATAGCTTAAGTAGCCTTGTTGAGGGTTAGTCTTGTTTGGGGTCGAGGTGTGATGGAGAGTTCAGGGCGGGGATAAACCGAAAGACTGGTTAACGTGAAGTAAATTCTGACTCAGCGACCCTATAGGACACAGGAGAACTGTTCTATAGGATTTCGATGGCCTTTAGCCTTTATGGAAGTGGGCTGCAATAGCTGCTCCCCTGGAGCTGCTGGGAGGTTAGAACTGCCTCTGAATGCCTAACTCCGCCAGCAGCTTTCCTTAGAGTGTGGGTAGCTGGGAAAAAAAGAGTCAAAGTGCTTGTTCTAGTCTTTGAAAAGAAAAACTAGAGAGGTGGTTTTGCTTATTGGGTTTGCTTAGTTTTCCTGGAAGGAATAGATAATAATAAGATAACATTATCTGTTACCTCTTTATTCTCCAGCGACTTTCCTTAGCTTGAGAAATTGTCCAAATTCACTTTTAGCAATACCAATAACCTGGAAATTAATAATACAGTGGTTTTTTAAAGATTTGAAGTTGGTTTCATGAACACACAGCTTCTTAATAAACTCAAACGTTTCAGGTTGCCATTCAAAAAAAACCTGTATGGGTTATTTCAGATCCTGTTTTGAATGTGTATACCGTCTTTGTAAAGACATTTGAATCAAGGTATACCTCCTTTACAGAAAGATAATACGTACGTGATTTCTATTCGATCATTTCATTTTTAAAAGGAAGGCACATTTTGCAAAAGGCCACAGGGATATTTGCTTGCCAGTACACTCAAAAATCAAAGAAGAGGTTTTTCTCATTCTTGAAGTTAAATGTTTAATTTTACTAATAGTTACTGTTTCTACCTTATGTTTTATTTTGTGCAAACCAAGCAAGATAGAGGTAGAATGTACTACCTGTACTATCATGTGTAGTTTATTTGTATTACTGATGGTTTATAAACACTGAAATGTTTCCCTCAAATATGTTTGTATTTTTAATTGGCATTTTTACTGTTACTGCTCATTTCTTAAGAAATAGTTTCTTAAATGTGACACTTATTGGCTCTATGACTAATTTTACAATTGGCATTAAAAATATATCTAGGAGTAATAGTGAGGATCTTATTGAAATATGAAATACTAAAAGTTTTACAAGAATTTTAACAAAATGTGTGACATTTACAGGGAACTTGTGTGGCAAAGACAATGTCTCTCTGGTGGTTCAAATCCACCAGGAGCCCCTTGTGAGAATGATGGACAATCTCCTCCATACTGATTTACAGGCTCAGAAAACCCACAGCAGGGACAACTCTTTATAAGTTGGCTCCAACTCTGCAGCAGTAAATTTGAGTTCTTGAGTTTTCTGTTAAAGTTTGACTGCACATCATCCTTTTGAAGCTTGAACTATTGTTGAGTATGTAGTTGTTTGGGGGTTTGCACCCCTTAACTCCTTAAAAAGGGAAGATGTTAATACTACTACAAAAATAAATTTTTTTTTCTGGGTTCTGTTAAATATGTAGTGTGTACCAGTCAGTCTGTTTCTAACATTGACATCATTCTTGATTTCCAATCCTATGTCAAATAGTGAAAGCTTTAAAATTCTGTCTAATAACAGTTAAACTCTTTGGAGTCATAACATTTAATGAGTAATTTATGCTTTACTTCCTTAACTAATTTCAAGGCTTAAAGGGGCTGGTTACCATTTCATGCTTACTTGTTTTTGTTGTTAAGTACCGTGGAGTCGGAGATGACTCATCGCGACCCTATGAACGAAAGTCCTCAACACTTGTGTGACTTTCATCCTTTCTCCAGGTTCATAGGGTTTCAGGAAGAAAGCTATATGCAGAAGTGGATGCCTCTCCTGCTTCCAAGCTTGTTTTGATCCGGGAGCTCCACCAAACACTGTCTACCTTGCTTACTTACCTGTTGACAATAAAGATGTTGTGCATGTGTTTTTTGATTGGTTTTATTTTGTTTTCTTTTCTGTTTAAGTAGTTGTAGAGGATTTGTTTGGGGTTTTTTTAAACTACTGTTTAATTTACTCTCCCTTCATTTTAGTCAGACAATTTGCCAGAATTGTATTTCTACATTGATATTATCTGTTTTATAGAGGTTGTAAATTCTACTGCCCTAAATAACTTTTTATGGGGCTCTGGTGGAAGTCTTTAGAGAGTTGTGCTGTTCATCCAAAAGTGGCTCTGCAGGAGAAAGATGGGCAGTTTATTCCTGTTAGATTTTTAGTCTCAGAAACCAAATCCATCACCTATGACCTAGCTTGACAGCTACTTCTTGTTAGGCACCATCTGGTTGAGTACAGCTCATAGGGACCCTACGAACAACAGACCTGAATCCTTTCCTATGCTGTACCATCCTCAACATACCTGTTACACTTGAGCCCTTTGCTGTGGCCACCTTGCCATTCCATCTCGTTGGGGATCTTCATTTGTTTCACTGACACACACGCCCCTCCTCCAACCCCCATCCAAGCATGATATCCCTTTCCAAGGAGTAGCCTCTCCCTTAGACAGCAGAGTTAATATGCTCAGCTTGGGCTCCCTTTCTCACTGCTTTGGCCTTATTGCTTCCTGCTGGAGAGAATTATCACCCGAATATCTTAACACCAAAGGCAGGAGGCATTAACTTTTAACTGGGAAATCCCAGGAAGAACTTTTATTGATCCAGCTTAAGTCTGTGTGTAAACCATTTAGATCTTTCTGTAAAACATTCATGGAGGAAGATGAGTTGCAAGTCCTCCCTGTAAGAAAAGTACTGTAATTGAAAACCCTCAATAGGACCACATAGGAGAATAGGGATGAATAGTCACTAGTGATGTTCTAAAGTAATGTAATCCTTACTATCATAGTTTTGTTGAGTGAGAAAGTAAAAGCAGAAAGTCTGTTACATATATATATATAGTGAGATTGATTTTTATTTTGTTTAAAAATTTATTTATTCCAAACAGTAAACCTATATTTTATAGCTTAAAGGCAAGAAAGAGCTTCAGTGTGCAAATGAGGAACAAAATACTGTTTTCCTTTGCTCTTGGTTGTTATTGTGTTAAGTGCTGTTGAATAAGATTCTTTGGAGAAGGACATGATGCTGGGAAAGGTGGAGGGTCGGCGAAGGAGAGGAAGACACTCAACTAGGTGGGTTGGGACAGTGACTGTTGCAGTGGGCTCTTGTGTGTCAGGAAGTGTGAGGATGGCACAAGATAGAACAGTGTTCACATCTTTTTTTCATAGGGTCACTGTGTGTTGTACTCAACTCGATGGCACCTAACAACAACATAGCAACCCTATGAACAACACATCTGAATCCTGTCCTATCTTATGCCATCCTGACCATCTCTGATACACTTGAGCCCATTGCTGCAGTCACTGTGTCAGTCTATCTTGATGAGATTCTTCCTGTCTTTCACTGACCATCCTTCTGACCATAATATCCTTTTCCAAGGTATTGCCTCTCTCATTGCTCAAAAGTTACTCTTGCAAAATTGTTTTCAGAACTTGAAGCATATGTAAGTTAGCTTGTTAAATAGTTCGTATGTATGTGATTCAAAACAAAATATAAACATGTGTACATTGAAAGTTCCTTTTTTTCTCATTTCCCATATGCCCAGTTTCTCCATAGGAAACTAAAGATGCGTTTTTATGCCCTTCCTCGTTTTCTTTTTTATTTCTCCCACAGTGTGTGAATTTGATATGCATAGTACCCTACACTTTGCTTTTTTTCTCCTATGTTTTGTTTTTAAAATTCTGTACTGTTATTACATAAGTATACAAAAAGTTTACTCATTGATTCCAACACCTAAATTCATGATATGGTTGTACTGTATTTAACTAGCTCTTCACTGATAGACAGCTGGCCTGTTTTCTCTCTTTTGCTGTTAAAAACAAGGTACAGTTTGGAAATGGTGGGCATGTGCCGCAGCCAGGTTGTTTATATTTTTTATCAACTTCAGCTGTCACTGGACTTTGTTGAACAGCAAGGTTTTGAACTGCAGGGGCCCACTTATTTTAAAAACATTTAATTACCTGTTGCTATTCCATAGAGCTCAACTAGGACATCATTCTTGGAAAGATGGAGGGTCAGCAAAGGAGAGCAAGACTCTCTTGAGATGGATTGGCACAGTGACTATAGCAGTGGGCTCAAGAGTGTCAGCTGAAGAGGATGGCACATGATAGAGCAGGGTTCAGGTCTGTTGGCATAGTCAACTCGATGGAACCTAACAACAGTTCCATAAAGAACTAAATTTGGCATTTTAAGTGAAGTGTGCCTGTACAGTTCAAATTTGTGTGGCTCAAGTGTTAACTCCCACTCTTCAAACCTGTTGTTACTCAATAGTCAAATGGAAGATTTTCATCCTCCCAGGGAATTGGCTTGCCTCATACCCTGTGATGTTCAAGAGTCTATTGTATCAGTCATCCTTAATAATATCGTTGGAATAACTTTGTTGCCTATAAAGCCATCATTTCATAGAAAAATAGTGACTTAAAATGTAAGTGTTAATGAGTTTTCAGAAATTTATTGCATTACTTTA